TAAACTTGACCATGACCTGGATGACTGAGAATCTTCATAGACATCAGCCTGCATTGTTTCCCCTTTTAGGTGCTGAGTTTTCTTGGATGGGCGTCTCACAACTACCGTTTGATTGACTCATCAGCGACTAGAGGTATTTAAACGCCAGAGCGTTGCCATTACAACCCAGGTGGAATTATCACGTTCAGTCGATTTCCCCATGAATTGGTTCTCTAACGATAATCTGTATTTGTTTCGTGGATGTTTGTCCAGGATTTTTGGAGCACGTTGCCACGGAGGGTAAAGAGTAGGCGCCTCGGGACTTGTCGGGATTTTCTCACTGCCATGTGGACACTCTCTTTGTTTGTTGAAACTTTTGTCACTGTTCACTACAAAGTCAGAATAGTTTGGAATAAACCTAACTGTTGCTCTCAGTGATTTTGCTTTTGGGTCCAGTTCTCTAATCTAACTGCTCAGACGGAGCATACGTAACAGAACGCTCTGGCCACAATGGAGTCAGCGAACACTGAGCATGTGTGAGCCGTCACCCTGCTTCTTGGATCGCTTTCCTCCCCTGGGTGGAATATGCCCACAATTCTCTGTCTACCTCTGCCACAGGTATGTCACCATTCATGGTTGCCATGGGCTATCAACATCCTTTATTCCCCGAACAGGAGGTTGAAGTAGCAGTTCCCTCGGTGCAGGGGAATATTTGGCGAATCCGTCGAGTCTGGAGAGTGGCAAGGGAGGCACTCCTGCGGTCTCAAGTCAGGATGAAGACGGCTGCAGACAAGCATCGGTCTCCTGCCCATTCGTATGAGCCAGGCCAGAAGGTATGCTTGTCAACCAAAAACATTCAATTACAGGTTGAGAGTAGGAAGCTAGCTCCTTAATTCATTGGCCCATATGAGGTTTAGAGAGTCATTAGTCCATCTGTAATCAAGATGATGCTTCCAGCATCTCTTCAAATACATCCCACCTTCCATGTTTCGTTGCTGAAGCCAGTGTCCTCCAGTCCATTGTTCAGTCGATTTCCCCATGAATTGGTTCTCTATCGATAATCCGTATTTGTTTTGTGGATGTTTGCCCAGGAATTTTGGAGCACGGAATTATCATCTCTACTGTACTGTAGTGTAACGAGCCAGTAATGGACAGACTGATGACTAGCAAACTCACGCTGCTTCCTCACATTGTTCCTGCGACATTGTTTCCTCCTCTCTGGATTCCTCCTGTTACCAGACCATAGTATGTCCATTGGCCTACCTTTCCAGCTCCAACTTCAAGGGAGAAAAAAATGGTCTCTGGATTCCTTTTCATATTGTTTTTGAGGCTGTATCGAATGTGACAGCACATTTCCTGTAAACATTAATATATTGATTGTACAGTATTCACACAGAAATGTTTATAGTATATGTGAAACAATGCATACACTCTAAACCTGTGTTGTTTTACTTACATCTACACAATACAAACTTATATACAATATATAATTGATGTAACTGTTTAAGCTGTGCACTTTTCTTACTGGAACACACAAACAGTAAAAAGTCAATGTATCACTAGTTATATTTATAGTTTGGTCTTCAAATAAGATAACAATAAAACAAGATAAAATAATATACTTTAATCAACAGCTGAATACATTTCAGTACTGCTCCCCGGTTGCTTAAAGCTGCCCACTGTTCACTTTGGTGATGGATTAAAAGCAGAGGTCACATTTCGTTGTGTGCAGTGGTGTGCTGTCACAATGACAAGTAGTTCACTTTCCTTCCTTCTTTCCTTTAGGTACATACCATTACTAGACAAACGTTATTATTGGAAACTATAACAAGAGCAGTGGGATAAGTGAGAGAAAGAGACACAGCGGAAACTAATGAGGGGAAGGAGAGTGTAATGGAATTGCTAAACACCAGAGTGGGAAAATAAAGGAAGAAGGGAGAGAGTATGCCAAAAAAAAAAAGGAAATGAAAAAAATATTTTCATATTACAAACTTTTTTTTTAAACATTTGTTGCTATTGCCTGTGTTTTTAGTAAGCTACTCAAACCATATTTGGTCAACTAACCCATTGGTGTTCTTTTGCTCTTTTTGTCTGATTTGGGACAATATTTAGTCTTTATCTTTTGTTTAATGAGTACATTTTTCTTTGATAACATTTAGCGATTTGTCCGACCCTTTTGACAGCATTCAGCTACTGTGATAGTGGGCAATATATCCCTAGCTTTTCCATTAGAAACAGCACACTTACCTACAGTAACTGTGGGTTAAAAAATTCAAATTTCAGACCATTGTCTGTTTACACAACACAAAATTGCCACAAAATAAGAAATATTAGCTCAGTTGGTACTGACATAATTCCACTACAGACAGTCATTTGGCCCACTTTTTCATTCAACCAATAGTGACTCAATGATTTCTCAATGATGTAATCTTTGGTTATGACCGCTCCAAATGGTCAACAAACTTTACATCATGTCCTTCAGTCTGTCACCTGCTGCTAATGCCAGTTTCCTTAGGCACCAATCCAATGTATAATTGACCAAATTCTTTGGCAAATGGGGCAGCAGTGATCAGGTGAGTGTAAAGTATTGGTTTGTTTCTGATTTTCATGCAGGTCAACCCAGATAAAAACCTACTCCTGGGACAACGCACAGGTGGTGCTGGCTGGAAATAAATGTGATATGGAAGATGAGAGAGTCGTCTCAATGGACAATGGACGACTGCTGGCAGAACAGCTGGGTAAGACCGAAAACGTATTTTTTCTTTTCAACCCATTTTTAACTTGTTCTTTTCCAGCTTGTCCCTGTTTCAGGGGTTGCCAAAGCAAATCACTGTTTTCAATCTCTCCCTGTTCTCTGCATCTTCTACTCTGACTCCAACTATCTGCATGTCCTCCCTCACTGCATCCATGTATCTCCTCTTTGTCCAAACCATCTCAATCTGGCTTCTCTAGCTTTTTCTCCAAACCTTCCTGTCTGTGTTGTCCCTCTAATGACCCCATTCCTGATCTTGTCCATCCTTGTAACTCCTAAAGAGAATCTTAGCATCTTTAACTCTGCCACCTCCAGCTCCACCTCCTGTCTTCTGCCTATTGCTACTGTCTCTAAACCATACATCATGGCTGGTCTCACCACCGTCCTGTAAACCTTTCCCTTCACCTTAGCTGACACTCTTCTATCACAGATCACTCCTGACACTTTTCTCCAGCTGT